GCCTTAGCTATACTGTAAGTAAGTCCATACTTACTTAGACATTTATTCTAGTTCTGTGCAGAAATATTGTCTAGGTTAAAGTTGAGGATTTTGAAAGGTTATCTGAGAATATACTCCATCTGGAATGCCCAAGTGAGCACTATTTTTTGAATTAAGATCTTACTGCACACCACAAATAAATCAAGCCTGGGACTCACTGTGCATGTAGTACAGCAAGTTTGATGCCTTACTAATGCCCTGGGTTTAGTATATACAAACCCCAAATGTCTCTGCAGCAGGTCTGGCATTTTCTGAAACATATATGCATATTTCTATCCATGAAACTGCAGATAAATATGATAACCCTATGTTAAGTCACTTAGGACTGTAAGCCTCAGTGTAATACTTAGGATAACTGTAGATCTACTAAGAAAGTTCAGTTTCTGCCCATTGCCTCTTGTCCTGTTGCTGGGCACCACGGAGAAGACACTGGCCTCATCCTCTTGACACTCCCCCTTCAGATACTTGTACACGTTGATGAGATCGCCTCTCAATCTTCTCTTCTCCAGGCTGAACAGGCCCAGCTCTTGCAAGAAAATGACATGGAAAAATCAGATGTACTTTGTAAATTAACTGAGTCAAATGTAGATGATATATTAAATCATTAAAGTCTCAAAAAACAAGATTTCAGTTCTGCTTCATTTACAGTCTCGTTGTAGTGTTAATCGTGGAGTCACTGTCATCCTTTTCATTATATATGAACAAGACCTGTTACACTGTTCTTTCTTACAGACAAAGTTGTATCCCTACATATATGCATGACCTGTTTACAAGGATAGATAAAGGCACCACTACCTATTTGTGGTGAGAATGTTTGAAAGGATTTAGCAATTCTGAATTTTATGAACACCATGCTGCCTGCACACCGTACCTTTCATATAAAGACAAGAACAGTTCTCTAGCAGCTAGTGCTTCCTAACTTATTACCAATACATTTTCCTGTGATATATATCATGATAATGAATATCTACATTAATCATATTCTATAAAGTACTCTTTATATTTTCCATGCCATATGGAATATTTAGGGCCTCTTGACTGTATCTATACTGTTCATTACTTGCACACCTTTCAGAGATGTGAAACTGTAATCTGTGTTAAAAACATAAGGCCATTGGGAATCAAGTTTCTCTTAGAAGCCACTGACACTTACAGCACTAATAAAGGAAATGCAAGTTATATATGTATAGGAAGAGTAAAATAACATAGAGAATTAATATTTTGGTCAGAAAGAGGAAATCTAGTATGTGATTCCTATTTCTACCTATTTCCTTCTTTTGGTGATATCAGACCATGGGGAAAAATAAAAATGAAAATAGAAAATAGCCCAAACACTGATTTTATATTCAAATAGAATTTAATAAGCAAAACAAACCCAAAATATAAGTAAAAATGGAAATCTAAGAGTTTTAAATATGCATTTTAGGGATTGTATTCTTTTTCTTCTCCTGATTCATATTTTAAAATTCTAGAAAATTTAGGAATCTGCAACACAGGAACATAGTCCCATGTTCTCCTCAAGTGTTCAGTCCTGTGAAACATTGAGTATGTTCACATCTCTGTTGACTACACTTGCTTTTACTTACAGCAATATACATCTGGAGTAATTCAAATGAAATAAAACATTTATTCCAGATTTAGGCTTATGTCACAGGGCTAGGCTTTGACCACTAACATCAGTGGTCCTAACTCTGCTCAACATCTGACAAAATGAGGTCTCAATAAAATGAAGAGGACAAATTATATCTTATAGTCTCAATTATGTTAATCCAGAACAATGGAAATCAAGGCACTTAATTGCTTAATCTATCTGCCAACAATATTTGGCTTTTACCATATTTAGCTTTTACCATTTCAGGTAAATTTAAGCCTCTTAACTGCCTCATTATCTCTGACACCATTGAAGATCCAAATACTAGTTAATAAACGTTTTTTAGTTAGGAATCCTAGGTGTAATCAGGACAGTATTAATTATTTGGACCTTTCTAAGGAAGTAGGGGAGCTGCTGTTGCCAGTTTCCTTTGTTCTACCTTTTCCTTCTCCTCCTTCTTCTTTTTCTTCTTCTTCTTCTTCTTTAATATAGACCTTTCTTCATGACATGGCATTCAAAGAAAGCTTATTGCTTGTGGTATTCAACTTGTGTCAATCACGTTTCTGGTGGCAGAACAAGTGCACTCCTCCAAATCTCACCATGCTTTGGAATTGTTCTGCTGAAAATGAGTGTGTGGTTACTGAAAGGAGAAAAACAAGGGCTGTTTTTGATTTGGTGCTAAATGGTTTTACCTCCACAGCTTCAGTGGCTCAAGAAAACCCATTTCCACATTTCTTTTGCAATGCTTAAGCTCTTGAAAGGATTCAGCAATTATTTGAGCCCCTGTTTTGAGATCTTCTTGATGGCAATAGGTTATTTTCCATGCTATTTTAACAAATATGTACAGTTCATTTCTTAGGGTTCTGATGTCCTCTATCATCTAATCAACAAATCTTTATTACCATTTTATTTTAAATGGGTGAAAAAATGCCTGGATTCAGCCCACGTGACTCTAAACGCTTTAACAAGCAGCCTGAGTTGGTGGCCTACTTGTCATGTCTAGTCAACTCTGCCCACCTCAGACCTGAATTACCATCCAGAGGCACATCTTTCTTTCCACTGCTCCTAGATAGAACCTCTGGTAATGAGGCTGTCAACCTAGAGACCTCTGTTAAGTGTCTAGAATTACTGCAATGATTCTAGGCCTATATGGACTTCTGTATAAACAAATTGATCCAAGACCGAGTGTTGCACCTTCCTTATATTATCATTCAGTACAGCATATCTAGGTCATGTTAGTTTTGTTATGGGAATGAGGCATGACTAGTAGAGGAATGACCCAAATGCTGTTCTTGGGGTCCTGAGATTCATGAGATAAATAAATCAACTTTGGCAGATCTGAATTCAGTGATATGGCCAACAGCATGGTGTAAGGAGAAAAAAATATTTTTGCTTCTATTATCTTGCTCTCTCTCTCTCTCTTTTTTTTTTTTTTGGTCTATTTCTTAAGTCATGTTAATGCTCAGGAAACTAGTAAATGAAACTTGCAGTCCTGTCCTTTGACTCATAGTTATCCTAAGCAATGGACAGAAATTCTTAGTATTTTTGGTCCCTTCATTGGCACTTAAAAACAGAAAATGAAGGCCTATTCTGTCTGAACTCAGATGGGGCAGGTGCATTAAGAAAATTTGCATTGCTGCACTTCATGCTGTGCCCATACTGTGGCTAAAGAGCAATAATGCCAACCTCATATGGCGAAAGGTGATGAAATTGGCTAAAAAAAGATACTGAAATTGTGTTAATAGGTTTCTTTTGTAGGCCTTTCAATACTAGGAAATTTTTACTCATTGTTTTCAAGGTTTTCTTCACAATTGTGAATGCTAAGAATCACAGAATCACAGAATGGTCAAGGTTGGAAGGGACCTCTGGAGATCATCTAGTCCAACCTCCCTGCTCAAGCAGGGTCACCTAGAGCATATTGCCCAGGATCACATCCAGACGGGTTTTGAATATCTCCAGCGAAGGAGACTCCACCACCCCTCTGGGCAACCTGTTCCAATGCTCTGTCACCCTCACAGTGAAGAAGTTTTTTCTCAGGTTCAGAGGGAACTTAAAATCTTCTCTTCTCCAGGCTGAACAGGCCCAGCTCTTGCAGTCTTTCTTCATAGGAGAGGTGCTCCAGCCCTCTCATCATCTTTGCAGCCCTCCGCTGGACTCTCTCCAGTAGTACCATGTCTCTCTTGCACTGGGGAGCCCAGAACTGGACACAGTACTCCAGGGGAGGCCTCCCCAGGGCTGAGGAGAGGGGCAGGATCACCTCCCTCCACCTGCTGGCAACACTCTGCCTAATGCACCCCAGGAGACCATTGGCCTTCTTGGCCACAAGGGCACACTGCTGCCTCATGCTTAACTTGTTGTCCACCAGCAAGCACTCCCAGGTCCTTCTCTGCAGAGCTACTTTCCAGCAGGTCAACCCCCAGCCTGTCGTGCTGCATGGGATTATTCCTGCCTAGGTGCAGGACCTTGCACTTGCCTTTGTTGAACTTCAGGAGGTTCCTCTCCGCCCAGCTCTCCAGCCTGCCCAGGTCCCTCTGAATGGCAGCACAGTCTTCTGGTGTGTTAGCCTCTCCCCCCAGTTTAGTATCATCAGCAAAGAACTTGTATAAAGCTGAGATCTACTAACTAATATATTCAGGTTAAGAAAATGCATGTGAGTAACAACAGTGAAAGTCACAGATCAAAAGCACTTTAATCAAAGAACAACAGTCTTCATGCTGATTGACCTATTTACACAGGCATCAATGCAGAATTAATTTGATCAGAAGCCCAGTTATGCAAATATTTCTACTGTCAGCTACATTTTCAACTAACAGTATCTCTAATAATGTCCTTTCAGCTCTATACTTTATCTCAGTATACTTTTTCTAATTCCAGAAGGACTTCTTGAGTCTGCAGTAGTTTTACAGCAATCATTTGAATAACTTCTCTATTATTTCACAAATACAAGGGAAGAGGAGCCACTCATGCATACATATGCATTCTTACTGTCCTTGTGCTCCTGTGAATGTACTAGCAGAGCCAAAGCTTTCCCTAACAAGAAGGAAGAATCAGACCCCACACAGGATGCCAGCAGAAAAGCATGAGAGGGCATGTAGCAGCTACAGAAATGTTGTAGCAGAATGAAGGCAGTCCTCACATGCATTCCTGTTCAGTCTGTATGGCTAATACTGTCTGCCTTTCATATCTAGGGATTGAAGGGTACAGCTAAAGCAGATGTGTGAGGCAGTTGGGTTGGTTGGCCAAAGGCAGACTTTTTAGAAGGGGAGGCAAGGCCTTCTGCCCTATGCAAACACAAACATTTCCCTCAATTTCTGCCCTGCTGTCTCTCTTTGTTCTTCCCTGATCAGTGCTCCTCATTTATCACTTTCAGTACATGGCTACATCTGAAAGACCTATGGGCCCATCTGTCACTATATTTGGAATACCTTCTACCCTCATCAATGGTAAGAACATGCTGATTGTGTTTCACATTGTAAGAGCAACTTTGGAAAGCTATTCAGCTAAATAGGAACCAACCAAAATCTTTGCTTTCCTATGAACCATTTATGGTATCCCTTTCACTACTGATCGTGAAGGTAGAAGACAGATCGTGCATGTTTATGTCATGTGCACTCTTTTGAATAGGCTAGTCACATTACAACTTTGTTTTTTTCACAGCAGTTGCTTCTTCAACTGCCAGTGTGTGGTGCAAGTTGCAGTTGCTTGTTACAAAGAGGCACTGGTGCTTGTCAGGAGAGTCATAGGCTGGCATTTGCGAATAAAAGGTTCTACATTATGTCCATAAATCAGGCAAGGATTTCCATCCAATTCTAGCCAAGTGTCTGCCCTCTGTCAGCACACAATAACGTATGTTGCTTTACGAAACAGAATCAATGAAAGTACCATCTGAGACAAAACATCCAGCCCCTTATGAAAATGCAAACAGCAAAAAAGCAAATGGCAATAGCAAAAGCCAAGATGGAGACAGCTCCCTAGCAAATAGTGAGAGATGTGCTTCAGGGTAGACTATCTGTGATAATTTAGCCTACATGCTCAAACCATTCAGTATAAAATTAAAATATTCTCACTCCGGGAAAAGTCTGGACAGAGAAGAGAAGGTGCACTCTCCCTTGTAAATCTTGAAGAAAAAGTATCTTCCTGAACTTCCCAGTGCCCAAGAGACAACAGACGTAGAACTATCCTACCACTGCACACCTACCCATATTTTGTGAGACAAAAGCTCCTCTCTTCATGTTAGCATCTAGGGGTCCTATGCACAAGGTAAAGGCTTTCTGCCAATCTTCTCCCCAGGGATCTTTCTACATTTGGGCCCTTTACATCTGATAACAAATTAAGCTTTGAATCTCCTCACAAGTGATTTATTCTAACCATTACAAACAGAAATACTGAGTTGCAGAAAGGATGCTCAAGGAGGATACTCAAGTAACCTCCACTAAGAGATGTCTGACTCCTGCAGAGTCACACAGTGAGGTGGGCTTAGACGTAACATTGAGGAGAAATGACTTCTAGTCTGTTTATGGCAGGAGATAAAAAGAAAACCTGCACTGCTATATATTAAGACCCAGCAAGCTACAGCTCCGAGGAAGGGGGAGGCTGCCTTTGCTCTGTGCAAAGAAACAGACTATTTTTTGATTATTTGATAACTGAAGGTGCCAAATGTGGGACTTCTATTCAGTGTTGGTTTGTATTTGCTGGAAGTTCTGAAGCTGCACTAAACGGTGTAAATCAGTGTGTTGATAGTCTCTGGCACTTCAGCTCAGGACTGTCATTTCTCAGCCCTGTTTTCCTTGCTGTCTTCATTTTTCCTGCAGAGGTTAAAAAGTAATAATTGATAAATCTAGGTACTCCTCAGGCTGAGTCTCTTTCACAGTTGAACTAAATCAGAAACTAAGCTGAAATAAGAGCAAAAGCCAGGCTAGGATGTAGAATAGGCAACCAGTTGGAGTTTTTTTCCCCTCCCCCATCCTAAAGCTTAGCAAAGCCTACAGGGTGTAATGTCTTCCTAGACCTGTCGTTCTGAAGTGTCTGAAGCTGTTCAACAAAGGAAGAGAGTGGCTTGAATATCAGATACAAAATTATTTTCAGGACATTAGGGATTTGCTAAGCACATGGAGGACTGTATGCACAAAGGCTACTAAAAATGAAACAATTTGCCTGGCTCCCTCTTTAAAAATAGCATGGTCACAGCAAGTATGTGGAAACAGCAAATATGGGAATTTTTAAACTCTCAGAGGTACTATAACAACTCCACAGAAGAAAGTAGATGCTCTGTATAAACAATCGTGAAATTCTCTGTGTACCAGTTACACCATAACCTCATTTACAGAGATCAATTTAGCATGTAGCTCTAAGGAGCATCAGAAAAAACAACTTTTTTGTAAAAATAATCATTTTTCTTTCTAAGTTTTTCAGGCATGTAAAGAATTTAATAATTATGAGAAGTCACTTCATGTTCTACTGAGTTGACAGAGCAAAGCGTTCTCCATAGGTGAAAACTTCTAGTCATCTGATCTGGCAATCTCATTGTTCTATAGGTCTATATATGAGGTGATCATTTGGTCAGGAGTTCTTCTCTCTCCCATTTAATTTTCCAGACAGAATCTGAACAATGCTTTGTCTTGGAAAAAGATCATGGAATACCCACTGTGGAATAGCTCCATGAGTGGACTCCTATGCTGCACTAGAAGCACTACTTTTATCAAACAAGGAAGTAGAAGAAGCTAAACCATATAGAGGCACTTTTGATTCAGCATCAGACTCCACACGGAGAGAAAGAAATGAATAAGCATTACACTTTGAACTTGCACCTTACTTTATTTTGTGGTAGCTTCATGGCACAGAGAAGAGTGGCTGTTGATGTCCAGCAGGACTGACTGGCTGCTTACAACAGGGTTACCCAAGTCTTGTGATATGTCCTTTCTAGTCTCCAACCTTTAGGTTCCTATCATAAATGTGATGCCATCACTAGCACTGTACTCGTTACCCATCTGATTTTCCTTTCCCCATAAATACCATTCAAATGAAGATCCTATTTATCTGAGTAAAGACTGATCACTGGCATAAGAGCTGTAGATCTTGGACCTTATACGTGGAGCTTGCATAACTAACAACCTTATGGTCTTGGTAGTCTTAGTGTATGCAAGGGGTCTGAGGGCTAGTCTGGGCTCTCCACTCTCCATTCACATGGAGATTCAAGCAAGACTGAGGTACCTTGGCAGAGGAAATGTTAAATGTTTCTGTTATGAGGATAAACCGAGGACCTTATTCTTTAGTGCTGCCAGTCTCCTGCCTTTCATAAACAGTAAATATCATTTCAGACTGAAAAAAAAAGAAGGCAGCTGATAGGATTGAAAACTCTGGGGAGAGGATCCCTGAGGATCCAGTGCGTACTGGATTCAATCTTCCCTTCTGCAACCCACCACCTACTTGGGTTATCTACCACGCTTCTAAACCAGCAAGATGTTTAAGTCTAGCTGAAGTCAATAAGTCTTAACTATCATCTTTCCAGCACCCATTTAAGTAATTGGCTAAATAATGCCTGAAAATTTATTTGTATTTCTCATACAGAGGTTTGATCTAGGCCCAGCCTTCATTTCATAAAATGGTTATACTAATTAAATGATACTGCCTATCATTTTATTCCAAATCAGCTGTGAGCTGTTTCCTTATTTGAAGTGAGATCTGTGTTTTTAAGAGTTTGGTTAGTCAAGCCTTCTATTTGCAGTAAAGAAAGGCCTCCATTAAATTTGATTGGCCTTTCCACTAATCTAAGAAAATAATTTGTATGGCTAGACTACTCTAGTTATTTTTATTGATAATTAGCCTCTAAAACTAGCAGGACCCTATTTTTTTTGTTGCAATTTCAGTTTACTCCTTGATAAAGGGCCTAAAAATAACTTTTTTATATAGTTTATTACAACTTTCTGGTTCTTGTTTCTAGGTCACAAAACATGACAATGATGATGATGATGATGGGGTGGTGAAGAGGCTGCTAGTGGTACAGCTACTCCTCCACCACAAGACACAGATTATTAGCAGTGATAATTGGGGCTGTAACCCCTCTTGCCTCTGCCCTCTTTTCTCAGCTTAAGTTCCTGCACTTGCCATATAGCACACTGGACCCATGATTCTGCTCAGCAAGGCAGGCACTAACGCAGCAGCAACAACAATAGCAACCAACGAGAGGGTCATAATGCAGGATCTATACAAATGTTCACACATCTCTGGTTTCATAGATAACTTTAACTGTTTATTCAATGAACTGAAACAAATTCTTCCTCTTCACAGAGTACAATTTTGATATTTTCAGTACAGAATCCTCTAACCTCTGTTGCCCTTTCAACAGCCATCTGAGCCTTGTGAAGCGAGGACTTTAAAAGTAATCTGGTATATGAATATCTGTCTTCACTTGGAGATTAACAAAAAACACCAGTTCCATTAACATTTCCACTCACTGCTTCAAGATAATGGCAGCATGTCCTCCCTGGCTCATGACAAAGTGAAAACAAATGCTAAAAAAGTTAGGGTTTCATGACTCAAAAAATGACCTTGTCCTTAAGAAAAGTTTTCTCATAGGAAGACTTGAATTTCCTAGTCATCCTTAAAATGCAACTAACTACCATCTGTTACCAAGTCCCTAATGTTCTAACTGTAGATCTCTATGCACCATTCATGGCTTCATAGCTCGAGACAATAAATAGACTGTAATTCAAAATTTATGTGGAGCTACATCAGTATCCCAAGGTGACCCTCCACACATCATGGAGGCTTATTTTAAAGAGCCTAGCACATTGGATGTGAAGTAAAAGGGCAGTCTGCTTATTCTCCAGTGCAGTCCACCTGCACTGTGAGTTATATTGTAGAAGGGAAGTATTAAGGGGACACTGATGAGTTCCCTCTGATGCATACAGAAAGGAAGGGGCCAACAAAAGCAGAACAGTGAGAAACTTAGATCCTCCTCCCAGCCAGTCTAAGTAAGTGTGTATAACGTAGGAATAAAGGCAGACTTAGAAAACTGCTTGATTGTTTACTAATTGATTATTTACCCACACTCCAGGAGGAAAAGGTACTGAATTGTGACTTGCTGGATAGTAAATTAGACTTTGAGTCACACTTGGGAAACATAGCATTGAACAATTTCTTCCTCCTACTTGATTGCAAAGAGCCAAATCTAGGCAAGCAGCAGAGAACATCACCAGGAACCTTAAGCTATCAGGATTCATATGCACATTGGAGGATGGGAACTCCTGCCCTTGGGCCAGCTACTGCCTCACAAGTGCCCATGTGCTCTAGAACTAGTGCTGAATGGCAGAACTCGAAGATCCCACTCAGTTACACAAAAATCCAAGAGTTTCTATCCCATCTTAAGGCTCAGAAAAAAGGCAAGGCTGATATTAGCTGACTGCCTGCAGCATTTGCCCCTGCCATTGCAGAAATACTACAG